ATTACTCTATCAGCCTCATCAGTGATCCATTCTTTTAAGCATTTGATGTAGTAGTCTTCATCTTCTGGTTCGAAGGATTGTGTCTTAAGACTATCAATGGCTGYCTTGTYTACACCATGTCTTAACAAAACAGTTTCAATGTCGTTCCAGTACTTGTTGAAATCAGCGTTTGATAGAGCTGGTTCAGAGATGTGAYCATASAGATTATTACGGTATAATCTCAGCCTTACTACATCGTCTTCCAAGTTAACACTTGTTGCTGCAGGCTCCTTGTCCCATCCATTGGCAGGTGCTGGCAAATTGCAGATATTGCGCAACAGTACACTTAAGAGAGTTATGTCAAACCCTGCAGATGTTGCCGATCCTACACTTGGATACAGCTTGTTCCACTGCTCTGATCGTAGAATTTTTTTAGCCTTCAAATTCTTTAAGATATTATGAATCCTGCTGTCCATCAAATGTTTCTTTAGATCGTGAGGTGGATATTTGACATCAAAAATGACTCTAAGGGCATGAGTTCCTCCATCGATGAGTAATTTACACAATCGAGCAAAGTTGGTGTTTTCTTTTGTAATTGTTGACCATCCAGTAGCCATATTGATTATCTTTCTGCAGCACAAACAGATAAGAATTAATATTTATCACCAAAAAAACAATGAAAACAAATGTAAGTGGTGTAAAATAAAGTCAAGACAATATCATTTTGAAACCAGCATCACCGAGCTAAAACCTTATATTACGCAAAAAGTCATCGTGTTTTGAATTATGTTTAATTAAACGTTGATAATAACTTACTGAATGAAGTTTCCAGAATGGATTCCTTTCGGAAATAAGGTGTGTTGATCAAAAGTAAGCTGAAGTAATTATTTAGGTGTGTTTCTTGTTCTCTGTTCTTCTGTTTGACTGACTTCAGTATGGGTTTGACGTGATATTAGACGCTGTGACGGACACTCCTACAAACCAAACCCACCAATAGAAACAGCTATTTGTTTGTCGCTAGGTTGTCACAAAAATAGAAACTGTGACCTTCAACTTCGATGTTCAATAACATCGCAAAACCAAACCAAATTTGGAGTTGTTTGTGCACAGCGTAATGGAACATAACTTTCTACGAAGTACCGATTATTACTTTGATTGGCTTATAAGTTCAAAAACTAAAATAACAGAAAAGAAATATTTTTCTCCATGATTCAAAGTGATGTGTGCAATAGTCTTGCGATATTCAGAAGAAACTGAGGTTGTTTACAGTTGTTCTGAAGCGTATCCAATAATATGCACCAGTGACTGCACAGCGGTATGGCCACCATAAGGGAATCTTGATCTGTCGTTTTCGGAAAAAATACATACGACAGCGTTCTGGTCACATATTCCTTAATCCTCCTTAACTCAATTCCAGAACAGTTCCCGGCAGTCAAAAATGTTCTTCACTGCAAACTACAACAAGAKAGACTCTGCCAGCAGGGAACTGCGATATCGGCATTGCAAAGAGACTAAGAATTGAAGACAATAATTTCAAAGGGCGTGACGTATTTTTATTAAAACAACAGACGAAAACTTTCGAATCTTTTCCTATATTAACAACATCATAAGGATTAATATTAACTAAAATAGGATTAACATTTTTCACCAAAATTTACTGAAAACATATATAACATATATCAACCTATGTATAACACATTTTTAAAATAAAATGTGGATAAACTCTATTCTGAAACAAACTTTCTTTTGTATTAAAAGATATTGTCCAATCATAAGCACTCAAAACAATAGCCAAACGATGCTTCTAATTTGCTATGTTCCCCACATAGAATTGCTAAGTCGGAATCCGATATTACTGTAAATAAAAATTTTAAAAATGCGATTACTTTTGAAATTATGTCAAACCACATTGAAAGCACAAACCCATTCAATACTGATAATATCTTACAATTCTTTGCAGTCAAAAATGTTCGCCAATGCGATGTCGGTGTTACAAAAGGAAGAGACTTATAGAATGGTAGACAATAGATTCACGGGGCGTCACGTTATAATAACACAAGAAACTTTCAAATCTTTTCCTGTATTACTAATATTATAAATTTATTATTATATCCTGACTGCGATGTGAAATTTGTTGCATACCTTTATATGCTAACAACAGAGACAGCAATTTGTGACGACAGGTACTTAGAACAAGTACAAAGGAATTATAAAAATTCAAAACAAAATTCAGACCCTGAGGCTGTGAACTGCTGTCATTATAAAATACCAAAATCCATCAAAACAAAAATATAGCTAAAAAACTATAGTCTTTATTTCCATGTCCTCATAAACAGAGTTCAAGTTCGATTAGATATGTAACATTTACAAAAGAGTTAGAAGGCTCTCCCTGTGAAATCGACTTTTACCCTCGAGAAAATCACATCGGGTCAACTCACAGGGAGCAAAAACCACCCCTACCCTACCCTCCTCCGTATTAATATACAAATGACAAATTTCTCACATATCTTGTTAGTGATGCGCAAGCAAAAATCCCCAGATGATTACTTTGCAGACGTTATTAGTATCGGTCATACATTCCCTCACAGGGAACGTTATGACTCATACGAATAACGTCTGCAAAGGGGGCTAGAACTAGTAATAATATAATAATAAATATTTATTAAAAGCGCTTTACATTTTAAAAGAAAAACTACTCAAATGCTTCTTTAAAAAGAGAAACGTTTTAAGTCTATACTAGTTTTAACAAAGGTGGAATTTCCATTACAACGAAAAACTGACCCCCTGATAAACAGCCACAAAGCCACAAAACATCATATCTTGACGTAAATGAGTTCATTTGTGCTGTATGGCTGACTTATAATTTTCTTCCTGAGACGGCTTCACGAATTGCATATTTGAAAGTATTTTTGTATTCATAGCATTCATGGCGACTGACTTTGATATCTTTTTGACAAAATGTTATGGAATGGACAGCCTGTATTATTTCTCCTTCGTCGCAACGCAGCATATAGAGAAGCAAACAATACTTAATAGCTCTGAGCCCTACCTCGTTTTGATGCATGTGGTGCGCGAATGTGCATTGTGGGAAGTATCGACGGAGGTAGTCTCCTCCGCAGGCATCTCTATTAAAAAAACTTTTTTTTCTCTATTGGAGCAGTTGGGCTCGTAGAGGTTGCGTGACGAGTGACCGAAACTAAACACGGCTGCGAGGAGACTATTGTGCTCTCAATTGCGCTCCCAATCTGCACGCATCTCGCCAAAGAAGAAAGAGGAGGAGTTCTCTCCTTTTTTTCTTCCCTTTATTGCAACAAACCAAAACATTCGATCATTTACACTGCCACACTGGGGAATTGACTATTATCAAAACTCCAGTACATGCAGGAATATCCTCATTCCTGGGATAGAAAACAATAAAATAAACAATCAATTTATGCATAATCTTAATGATATTCCTGCTTGTACTGGAATTTTGAGGAATAGTCAATATGGTCGCCATAGGGAC